TTGCCTCCATGATAAAATCCAAGTGAAATCCTGATGGTATAAGAGGCACACGGCATTGATAAACCAGATGGTGTGCTAATGTGAATGGATGTTGCTAGTCTGATTAAACAGAACAAAAAGGGATGTTGTGAGTCTGGAGACATCTTGTAAACATTCATCAGATTGCCTTCTGTGATTTATTCATATTGATTGAAGTTGTATGATATAACATCCTTGTTTGAGGAATATTTATAGCATATGTAAACCTTAAGAATAAAAATGTAATATATTGCAGCTTACAAGCCCTTACATGTAATGGCAGCCTTAGTTTATTTTAATCAGGTTTCCCTTACTTTCAACTGTTGATTCTGCTCAGAACACAATTCCTGCCAAGGGTGACAACAGTGGCAATGCTCACTCACTGTACTGTATCTAGGGACGAGCAAAATTGTCATTGGGAATAAGCTCGTGTTTCAGACCATACTCAGAAGAACCTGCCATGTGATCATATTAGGTCAATGAGTATCCCCACCCAATTGTGTATGAGCAGCTGCAGGGCTGGGAAGACTCTGGCCACAGTTGATTGGAATAGCAGTGGGTGGGTATGACAGCTTCTATCCAGGTTCAGTCCAAACCAGGGATGGACTGACAACTCATGGGGCCCCCGGGCAATAAGGGATCATGGGGCCCCTGTGTCCTCGCCCACATTCAAACCACACTCAAAAAAGCCTATGAAAGATACCAGGGGAACTCATGGGGCCCCCTACTGACCCCGGCCCTCGGGCAGTGCCCGAGTTCCCAAATGGTCAGTCCGCCCCTGGTCCAAACCCAAGTTAGGACCAAAAGCTAGTTCATAACTGTCACCCCCCAGGTCAAGACTACAGAACACCTTTCTCCCCGGTTTCTCCATAACATGGGGGGTAGGTGTTTTTGTAGAGCACAAAGCTATGTGGGAGCACTGCTAACCTGATAAGAGAACTCACTAGATTTTTGTCAGGATCAAATGTGCTTGTAACAAAACACTCTATATTTATTGGACCAGACACAAGTAAATAATAAGTCCATTATTAAGGTTTCGAACTCTTTATGGTTGGAGTGACCCCTCCAAATCCTATCTTCTTTACAATTGCTCAGATCTTTTTCTTTTTTAGTGGTGAAGGTGAGTCATGGATAATGATTTATTTTAAATCCTATTGTATAGTGTTTGTGAAGTGTTGCTGATGCCACTGCAGTGTTTTGGAGAAGTTTTGTGATCTCTTAGATTGTAAGCTCCAATGACCAGGGCCTTCCTAACCCTCTTGTATTGAACTGTATTGTTGCTGTATTGTCTCCCATTATATTGTAAAGTGCTGAGCAAACTGTTGGCACTATATAAATCCTGTATAATAATAATAATCTATGTGTAGCTCTTAACTCGAAGGAACTCTTGATGTTTGGGTCCCCTGTTTCCAGATGTCAGCAACCTTCACAGCAATACTATGCCCTCTAACACAATAAGGCTGGGAGGTAATATTTATTTGGGTCATGAAATCAAGCAAGGCAAAGATTAGTGCCCTGTACACACGATGAGAAAATTGGATGACAATACCGCTTTCGGAGCAATCATTCGATAATCTGATTGTTAGTACAAAACTTTCAAGTGTTGATCACGACAGTTCATGCTACAATATTCGAAGAGTCAAATGCGAAAATGTTTCTCATATGATACAGAATGAATGATTTTCGTTTCATTAATACAGTAGTAGGCTGGAAAAAATTGCAGGTCCATGCTTATAAATGAAAGAATACATTGCAATATAATACACAACATTGCATTACTTCTGAAGTTGTACTCTGTCGTATGAGAACTTTCGAAACTTTAGTAACCTCTTTATTTTTGATATGAGACTAGCATGCAAAAAAAAAAAAGACGATCATTCGTCCAATACAGGGCTTAACAGCAATAACAATGAGCAACTGTGATTGTGAAACAGTACAAAACAGTGCAGCAAAATTAGAAGACAACGTAGCAGAAAGTTATGCAGAACATCCTTAATTGTGGGGCAGACTTTAGACCCTGTTATCTCTAAGCTAGGAAGGGCCCCCTAACTAAGGAGAACCACTCTCCAAAGTCTGACATGTGTAATGTCTCTCCTTACCCCACTGGCCAGTGGTCTGCTAAATTACATTGGCTGGCATCAGAGCTCAGGTCCTGGGTTGAAACGCTCACCACTTTCTGTTTGGGTAAGGGTATTTGTAAACACACAAAATCAATAAAAAAAACAACCAGAAGAAATGGCAAAAGGGCTTGAACTAGTGCAGCAGTTTCATGTGTCTTAGGGTAGTCACATATAGCCACCCCCCGTTCCTGTTGCAGGTTGTCTTCTCAGCAGCACTGTGGACTGAAGCTCCATCCTAAAATAGGCAAGCCTGGAACCATGGATCTGAAACTGCAGTCTGCACAGATCAAGTTCAGATTGGCATACTGAGCCTTGTAGTCCTAGAGCAGCACAGTCCAAATCAGGGCAGCTTCAGCAAGTATCCCTCACAGACAGAAATGCAAGGGGAACAATCTCTCACCAGAATCCACAGGAACGACCATAGAACTGGCAGTTGAATCCACACAGGGTCAGACGTTCGCCTACAGCATACAGCAGCAATATGTCCCAGCAGACTCTTGTCATTCCCAGGATGCACAGCAGCCCATTTCTCTTCCCTCTGTGTTCCCAGGTGTGGGTGGGGCTATCTTGGGCTGCCCACAGCCCTGCAGAGTGGATGGATGTGTGGCCTAAACATTTATTTAGGAAACTGTTTAATGATCATCAGTTGAGTGTTTGTGAATAAATATGGATTTTTAGACCTGGAATAATACTCCTGTTTCATGATAAATACAATTTTTTTTATATAATAATATATATATATATATATAGATTTCTTTCTTCTATTAAAATAAAATGGCCTTTCATAATCACTTCACTACTACTGATACTTAATCATAAAACCAATTTAGGATCTGTCTGATTTCATAATTTTATCATACAAGGAACTCAGGCTCTTCAAAATGTCAACTACATTCTTAATTGCAAAAATTGTTTGAGACATTTTAACAAATAATTGCAGATTGTAAGCTCCGAGAAGCAGGGCCCTCCATTACCTCTTGTATTGAACTGTACTGTCTCCTGTACTGCTGTATTGTCTCCCGTTATATTGTAAAGCGCTGAGCAAACTGTTGGCGCTATATAAATCCTGTCTAATAATAATAATTTTAATTATTACTTTATGAAAGATAAATTATTTTTGTATACACTGTGTGTGTGTATATATATATATATATATATATATATAATATATATATACACTGTGTGTGTATATATATATATATATATAATTGTACAGGATTTATATAGCGCCAACAGTTTGTACAGCGTTTTACAAAATTATATATATACAGTATCTCAGAGAAGTGAGTATACCCCTTACATTTTTGTAAATATTTTATATTTACATCTTTTATATTTTAATCTTTTCATGTGACAACACTGAAGAAATTACACTTTGCTACAATGTGACGTAGTGAGTGTACAGCTTGTATAACAGTGTAAATTTGCTGTCCCCTCAAAATAACTCAATACACAGCCATTAATGTCTAAACCACTGGCAACAAAAGTGAGTACCCCCCCCTAAGTGAAAAATGTCCAATTTGGGCCCAAAGTGTCAATATTTTGTGTGGCCACCATTATTTTCCAGCACTGCCTTAACTATCTTGGGCATGGAGTTCACCAGAGCTTCACAGGTTGCCACTGGAGTCCTCTTTTACTCCTCCATGACGACATGGAGCTGGTGGATGTTAGAGACATTGCGCTCCTCCACCTTCCTTTTGAGGATTCCCCACAGATGCTCAATAGGGTTTAGGTCTGGAGACATGCTTGGCCAGTCCATCACCATCACCTTTGCTCTCATCAATACGTACCATTGCCAGAAGGTTTGCTTTGTCTCCCAGCACAGTCTAAAGAGTATGGAAGAGATTCCAGGAGACAAGCCGTTACTCTAGGAGAGCTGGTCAGGGCTGTAGAAGGTCCTATACTCATCAGCAGGACCAGCATCTGCTCCTTTGTGCAAGGAGGAACAGGATGAGCACTGTGAGAGCCCTAAAAAATGACCTCCAGCAGGCCACTGGTGTGAATGTCTCTAACCAAACAATCAGAAACAGACTTTATGAGGGTGGCCTGAGTGTCCGTCATCCTCTAGTGGGTCCTGTGCTCACTGCTCTGCACCATAGAGTTCGATTGACATTTGTCATTGAACACCAGAATTGGCAGGTCCTCCACTGGCGCCCTGTGCTTTTCACAGATGAGAGCAGGTTCACCCTGAGCACATGTGACAGATGTGAAAGGGTCTGAAGAAGCCGTGGAGAATTTTCTGCTGCCTGTAACATCATTTAGCATGACCGTTTTGGTGGAGGGTCAGTGATGGTTTGGGTAGGCATATCCATGGAGGGATGCACAAACATCTACAGCAGGAATGTCCAAAGTCCGGCCCGTGGGCCAATTGCGGCCCGCGTTCCGGACTGAAACGGCCCCACAGATGAGCTACCCAAATATATAACTTACGGCCCCCGGTAGTGATTCCCTGAAAGCTACTGAGGACTCCAGCGATCTCTTGACATCAGCTGGCGCAGGAAGGAGAGCCCAAATCTCGCGACGTCCGAGATCTCGTGAGATTTGGGCTTTCCTTCTCTGTGTGCCGGCTGATGACGTCAATTCCCGCTCGACAGATCCCTGGAGTCCTCAGTGGCGTTCGCAGAATCACTAGTGGAGGGCCGTAAGTTATATATTGGGCAGCTCATCTGTGGGGTCCGGAACGTGGGCCGAGGGATCCCAGCTGGTGCGCAGGGAATTACTACTGGGGCTACCATTTACCGTATTTTTCGCTCCATAAGACGCACTTTTTTCCCCCCAAAAAAAGGGGGGAAAATGTCAGTGCGTCTTATGGAGCAAATATAAAGCGGCCGGTCCGGTATTTCTGCCGCCACCATGTCAGAATACCGGGCCGGCCGCTCAGCTGTTGTCTCCTGCAGGGCCTTACCTGTTCCTCGCTCCAGCGCTGCACAGTCTTCCCGCGCTGGCTTCTTTGACAGCCGGGTGCCCACTGCGCATGCGCTGCGCTTTGTGAATGGTCATAGCAGTCTCTGGTCATCTGTACTGTGTCTGCAGTCTCTGGTCATCTCCTGTACTGTGTCCGCAGTCTCTGGTCATCTCCTGTACTGTGTCCGCAGTCTCTGGTCATCTCCTGTACTGTGTCCGCAGTCTCTGGTCATCTCCTGTACTGTGTCCGCAGTCTCTGGTCATCTCCTGTACTGTGTCCGCAGTCTCTGGTCATCTCCTGTACTGTGTCCGCAGTCTCTGGTCATCTCCTGTACTGTGTCCTCAGTCTCTGGTCATCTCCTGTACTGTGTCCGCAGTCTCTGGTCATCTCCTGTACTGTGTCCGCAGTCTCTGGTCATCTCCTGTACTGTGTCCGCAGTCTCTGGTCATCCCCTGTACTATGTCCGCAGTCTCTGGTCATCTCCTGTACTGTGTCCGCAGTCTCTGGTCATCTCCTGTACTGTGTCCGCAGTCTCTGGTCATCTCCTGTACTTTGTCTGCAGTCTCTGGCCATCTCCTGTACTATGTCCGCAGTCTCTGGTCATCTCCTGTACTATGTCTGCAGTCCATTGGTTCAGAATTTTTTTTTTCCTGTTTTTTTCGCCTCTAAAACCTAGGTGCGTCTTATGGTCAGGTGCGTCTTATGGAGCGAAAAATACGGTATCAATTTGGGCTATAATGGATTGGTGCTCAGGATCGCTTGACGTCATCAGACAGTGCAAGGAGAAACAAAGCCCAAATCTCGCAACCTCCGAGATCTCGCGAGATTTGGGCTTTCCTTCTCCCTGTGCTGGCAGAGTGAGTTAACACCTGTTTAGATTTGTCATCCAAGTCACAAAATGAAAAGTATGCCATTTTCAATAAACTTTTGCATAAAATAGTTCATCTGCATTTAATTTTAATGGTTCATCAGAATGTCGGGCAAAATGGTCGGCCCTCGCACATGTTCACTTCATCAAATCTGGCACTCTTCCAAAAAAGTTTGGACACCCCTGATCTACAGGCTAGACAATGGCACCCTGACTGCCATTAGGTAACGGGATGAAATCCTTGGACCCTTCAAATCCAATAAAACACCTCTGGGATATCATGCTTTGGTCCATCCGACACCGCCAGGTTGCACCTAAGACTGTCCAGGAGCTCAGTGCTCAGATGCTCTGGTGCAGATCTGGGAGGAAATACCCCAGAACACCATCCATAGTCTCATTAGGAGCATTCACCAATGTTGTCAGGCATGTGTACAAGCACGTGGGGGCCATACAAACTACTGAGTACCATTCTGAGTTGCTGCAATGAAATTTCAGCAAAATGGACTAGCCTGCTGCATAATTTTTTCACTTCAATTTTTGGGGTGTCTTTGAAACCAGTCCTCTGTAGGTTGATAATTTTCATTTCCATTAAATGATGGGACATCCTTACGTTCCTAACACATTACCCAGTCCATAGCAGTATAGGTATCCAGCATGATATTTTTTCCAATTTAGATCTAATGTTTTCAAAATGTCCTTTTAATTTGTTTGAGCAGTGTGTGTAAGTATATATATATATATATACAGTATAAAATCTGTCTGTGAAAAAAAGAAACACCTTTGATCTCTCTCTCCCTGGTCTTCAGTTATTGGGAGTCAGATAAGTGTGTTCTATTCTCCTTCTCTTTCCCCTCCTGATTTCTTTCTCCTCCCATTGCTACTCTTCCTCCTTCCCAACCATTTCCTAAATCCTACTTTGTTTTCTTTCCCAATTAACCTTTCCTATATTCTTTTCCCTATATTACATATATTTCCTATATTTTCCTCACTGGTTCCTTTACTTGTCCCTCCACCCCCTTTCCTCTCTGTATTTTCCCTTTTGTGTGTTCATTAACCATTTAAGCTCTGGAAGATTCTACCCCCTTTATGCTATTTGACACTGCTCTACTTTAACTGGTAATTGCGTGGTCATGCAACACTGTAAAATGAAATTGATTTGATCACCCCTGAGTTTTTTTTTTTTAATTATATAAATGAAAAAAAGAATGAAAATTTTGAAAAAAAAAACATTTCCAATACTAAAATGTAAAAATCACATTTGTTTCATAAATTTAGGCCAAAATGTACTCTGCTACTTGTCTTTGTTTAATCAAATCTCAATAAGTGTTTATTAATTGGTTTGTGTGAAAGTTATAGCATCTACAAACTACGGTATATAAACTGGAATTTACACAGCTACACAGGACTGTGATAGTGTGGTGGGCAATCTGGTGCTGGCTGGGAGGGACACCAACTGACTAACTGACACTGACATCAATAGTGACACTAATACAGTGATCAGTGCTAATACTGTACACTATCACTGTAGTAATGACACTGGCTTGGAACGGGTTAGCATCTAGGGGTAATCAAAGGGTTAACTGTGCTCCTAACAATGTGTAATGTGTGTACTATGATTTGCTAACCCGATCAGTAGGTCCCGGCCGGGACCTGCTGACCGACTTATGCTTCACCAAATGACAGCACTGATCTGGCAGGGGGCATGCGCGCGCAGCGCGCACGCGTCCTCTACTCGGAAATGTTGGATCACGTACATGTACGTGATGCAGCGCAGTGAGGCCGCCTGCAGTATATATACTGTGGGCAGTCTTAAAGCGGTTACAGAATTAAGCTTTTTTTTTTTTAAGCAGTGAGTATAAGCAGCTAAATTTCCATTGTTCAGTCCCTTGAAATCCAGTGTGTAGTATCATGCTGAGAGAACAGGAAAGCAGAGTGACAGAAAGATCAGTGTGCTGCTTCTCTTTAACTGTCCAGTCACAGACTGGAGGAGGTACAAGACCCAGCTGTGTTTTTTATTTGCAGAAAATAAAAGGCAGATAAAACAGTTCCCTTATGTGTATTTTATCTGTACACTTAGCTGTTTGGCTGGAGTTCAGCTGAAACTATCTTTTCCATTTTCTTTTTCATATATCCATCTTTCATCATGTTTATCATTGGATGAAGTTCCGAGAAATACACTGTGTTTAACGTGAACATTATCTGACATTTTGTCATCACATTCTGTACATGGTATTAAATCCAAAACCAAAAATGTAATGTATTGCAGCTTACCAACCATTAGATGTGATGGTAGCGTTCATTCTTTTTTTTTTTTTAGGCTCTGTTTTCACCTGGTGATCTGGCCAGTAACACACCTCCTGTGTTAGAGTGCCCCCACTCTGGATGAAGGAGCACAAGGGGCACAGCAGACAGCAGCATTGTCAGTCTGGGTGGAGGACAGTGTTAGATGTACTAGCAGATTTAGATACACTAACACATTGAAGCTAAACTCCAGTTTTTTCTCCTGTTGGGATAGAGGTTTTACATAAATAAGACTGATCAGTGTAAGCACCCCTGCCAGTGTTGAATGGTTTTTCTCATCCCTGTAACTGATACATTTGCAAGAGAGCTTGTTCATTTGAAAAACAACAGACTTACTAGCCAAAACACCAGATGAAAATAGAAGAACAAAAGCCTAAAAAAGAAAATGAATGCAGCTACCACATCTAAGAATTGGTAAGCTGCAATATAATAAATGTTTGCTATTGTGTGTAAAACGGCTTTACATGTTTAATTTGCTTTGTAATGCTGATACTATGCCTTTTGTTCCTGTAGCCAAACATTTGAAAATACAATAGCCATTACCATGATTATTATTTTAATATTATTATTATTACTACAATTATTATTTGAAATGCTGCAAATGTTGGCAGTTCCTCAGATGAAATGTGGCCATTCATAAATGAATAGGACCCTTATGCTTTTTAACCTGGTCTTGCCAAACAAAGATCAGTCAACAATAACCATTTATTTTTTTGCAAGCAAAATATATTTTCACATACAAAATCTTATGGATGTGGTTTCCTTTGATGTCTGTAATTTTTCTCTATAGAAGCATTTTAAATTCCACAGCAATGTATCAAGCTGTATAGCTGTCATAAAGTTATGTTTGCATATATTGCAGAATGCAGTGCTATTTTTTTTCACTGTGTGTGTGTTTTGTTTTTTTTACATCTTTAACCGCATTTTCAGATGTATATGTTTATTTTGTTATTGTTTCCAGATTTCACAATTTTGGTTTAAATTGCATTGCCCTTGCATACAAACTCGTCACCAGGTATTGAACTTCAATCTTCCATCCTGCCCCAGTAGGGCACACGTTTTATGATACTCTACATTTTTTTAATTATTTGTTAATAAAAAAAAAGTGTTCAATCTCCATTGAGCGCTTCAAATTTAGCACAAAGTAATTTGTTTTTTAAGATCCCAAGAGTCTTTACACCATTTTCTGCGACTGTTAAGCTGGCCATATAGTACACTTGAAGAATTTTCTTCAAAAAACTGTTGATTCAGGTCTGTTGGTTCGATTTTCCATTCTTTAGTGGGGATCAATATAAAGCTGAGTTCCACTCACGTTGTCAAAAAATAAAAGTCAGCAGTTACAAAAACTGTAGCTGCTGACTTTTAAAAAACAGCCACTTACCTGTCCCTCGATCCCGTGGTGTGTCCACTGCAGCCCATTTCACAGGCCGTCCTGTATTCCAGGAGGCTGGAATCTTCAGTGTGGGCACCCGGCTGTGATAGCTTGCGGCTTCACAGCCCGGTACCCACTGCGTATACGCGAGTAGCGTTGCGCTTCATGAATGGTCCTGTAGTCTTCTGGGACCTGTCATGTGTCCCAAAAGACAACAGGGAGGGAGGACACCTTCAACTTCCTATCACCTAGACAATCGGACCGGAAGTGGGAGCGGGTACCTGTCTAATTCTGGTGCCCGCTCCCCCCTGCCCCCCAAAGGTGCCAATCCTTAATGGGGAGCGGGGGAACAGTCCTTAAAGCGGAACTTCCCCTTTTGGGTGAAGCTCCTCTTTAATGATTTTATTTAATTTATGGCTGTATTGATGATAAAAGTGAAAGGAGCAGAATAGAAAATATTTTTTTTTCAAACAGAAGGATATCTATGTGGTTATGATTTGCCAAAGGTTACATTATAAGTAAAAGCAAAACTTTTTTTTTTGTTTTAGATGGGGGCTAGAACACCTGACAGTTTTTATTGCTGTCTGTGCCTCCATTAGGGAGATTCACCCTCTCTATTACAATAGTAGCGAATTTCATTAAAATTTGTTTCATTTATTTGTTTTCTAATGAATTCCACATTTTCAGAATGATTTGAACTCGAAAAATGTATTGGCCGATCCGAATTCTGTGTGAAGAATAGCTGGTTGTTAAGGAGAGGGCCTAGAAGAAATTCCCATAACTCATCAGCTGGCAGTGGTTTTCTCACTGACAGCTGAATATAAAAAAAAGAATTGCCGGCAATGTAAAATTAAGAAAAAAAAAAAACGGCGTGGGGTTC